CCCCCCCTCCGCCCGCTCCACCGCCCCCTCCTCCATCCCCTCCGCCGTCCCCTCCCAGGGCTCCCTGCGTTGCTGAGACTTGTGAGGTGCGGCAGAAACACCATGACTCCAGGCTTCAGGAGACTCAGTATCCAGGACGGGAATGGCCATCAAAGATAAGGCGTGGGGGTCTCCAGTCTAAACCCTTGTCTCACTGAGAAGGAAGCCCCCAGAGAGGGACTGACCAGCCCACGGACTCATGACCCCTACTCACCGTGTCACAGCTAGGCTCCAGGGCTCCGACTCCCAGTCGCCCCCACCACCTGTGTTTGCAGGTGGGAACGCAGAAGCAAGGCCAGCGAAGGAAGGGGAGGGACGGGAGGCAGCACAGAGACATCTGGACACTCCGAAGCTTTCAGGCCTCTCGGAGGCTTTACCATGGGGGGTCCCAAACGGTGACACTGCCCCAGGCAGCAGAAGTCGCAGAGTGTCCTCTGTCCGCTATGCTGACTAGAACAGTGTTTTTTGATTAAAACGCAGGCACTCTCTCTGTCCTAGAAGTTTGAAAGGCCTCAAAAGTAACACTGCCTTCTGTCACCTGAGTTGGGTTGCTGAGACATAGAAAAAGTTAGCAGACAGAAGGAGATCAAAATCTAGCTTATTACCGATAAAAGCTACATTGGAAGAACTGGCTTAGAGGTTCAGCAACAATGGGTTTAGTCAGACGTGCCCACCCGGTGGGCATCCTCGGCCCACTGCCACCCTGGGAGGGCCAGGGCCCTCAAGCCACACAGCTCTGCAGGCAGGCAGATCCAGTGTCTCTTCCCACACTGACCCAGCAGAGAAGGCATCCCTGGGGACAGAGCAAGGGTAATCCACTAATCCATTTTCCTCCACGTGGATACATGAGCTGGGGAAAGGGGGTCCCCCCCCAATAATGGCCTAACAAGTACAAGTGTACTTATGGGGATGACTGTACAAAATCACTGCACAGACTATTTGAAATCAGACTGACCCAGGAAGTGTGAGGCCTGTGGTCTCTGAAGTGTTCTTCCAAGTTCTTCCAGGTGTTTTCCCTCGGTCTCCTGCACTACCTGGGACAGCCTCGGGCGATGTGACCCCCATGGGGGTGGTGTCCCAGAAGGGCTGTTCTGTGGAGCCAGGTCAGCTCAGGGAGGGAGGGATGCTCTCTTTGGTGTTGGGAATGAAGGAGTGGCACAGAGAGGGGAATTGGAGGCAGAAGGAAACTGCCCCTGACTTGGGAGGACCTGGGCTTAGCAGTGAACCTCACATCTACTGAGCACCCCCTTCCCTGGAGCTCTGCCCTTCCATTTACTCATGTGGCACCCACGGTGCTTTCTGGCCCCTGCCAGGAGGTGAGCATCCCAGTCCCTGCTCAAATTGACCTTATGTCCCATGATGGAGACTGAGATACAGGCTCACAAAGCTGGACAGGATCAGAGCTCTAAATAAAACTTCTAGGGGGGAAGATCAAGGACTGATTTATACTTAGGTAAAAAAACTGATAGCAGATTGATCCTTTCAGGTCTATTTATATTTAAAAAGAAGCCTGGGCCGGCCCGGTGGCGTACTTGGTCGCTTGGGAGTGCGGCGCTTGGGAGCGTGGTGGCGCTCCCGCCAAGGGTTCGGATCCCATATAGAGATCGGTCCGCTTGCTGGTTGAGCGCAGTGTGGGCGCGACACCAAGGGTTGCGATCCTGTTGCCGGTCACGGTGCAGACGTGACACCGAGGGTTGCGATCCCATTACCAGTCACAAAAAAAGACAAAAAGGAAAAAATAAATAAATAAATGAAAAGAAGCCTGCTTTCTCCAAAAAAGTTTGGCTCCCCAGTGAAGGGATTTGAGGCTATGTGTGGAGGAACTGTTTAAGGTGGATTGGGGGTAACTTCCCAGCTTGCGAAAATCAGGTGGACACGCACACACACACTCACACACAAGCACTCCGCTGTGTCAGACACATCTCCTCCACCTTGTGTGAATGGAAGTTTGTAGAGACTCTGTCTCATTTATGTTTATGGTACTAGCATGTTACACAGGGCTGAGCACACAAAAGTGTTTGGAATGAACGAATGAATGAATGAATGAATGAAAAAATATCCGGTTGTGATGGTTACAGTGAACTCCATGCCTTGTACTTAAGCTAGGGTGCTGGGGCCCCCAAAATCCTCATCAGGGCACACTGATCGTCCACCACCAACACCTGGAGCACCTTTTCATAGGCTCTGCCTCCAGATTTGGTCCCAAAGCCGTAGACTCCCCCATGGTCAGTCCTTCCCATTCCAGCCCCAATTTCTTGGTTCTGCCTGCTCAGCACTCAGATGGGGAGCCCTTGTAGTGAGGGTCGGTTAGAGAAAAGGAGACGAGACCTACCAGAGAAGGCAGGTCAGAGCAGGAGTCACTGCCAGACTCTCCCTAACCCTAACTCCCTCGTGAGGACTGTTTCCTCCAGCCCTGCCTGCATGGCCCAGCTTCCAGGCCGAGTTCAGGGGCAATCTCAGGCCAAGCTCCTATAAAGCCTGGGGAAGGAAGTCCCTACCTGGGTCTCCTTCTGTTACCAGGAGGTGTTCAGGGCTGATCGGACAGGCTTCTAGCCAAAAGGAAGGGACAGACAGAGTATAGGAGTGTGAAAGCACGGTGCATGTCCTCTCCAGCATTTACGTTCTCTGCAGTCAGTCCCTACCTGGGTCTCCTTCTGTTACCAGGAGGTGTTCAGGGCTGATCGGACAGGCTTCTAGCCAAAAGGAAGGGACAGATAGAGTATAGGAGTGTGAAAGCACGGTGCATGTCCTCTCCAGCATTTACGTTCTCTGCAGTCAGACTGAACAGGACGGACGTGAAAGGCAGCCTGGGAAGGAAGGGAGCCCCAGAAGGGCAGCCTTCAGCCTGAGGGCATGTGCTGGAGCGGGCCGTGCGCAGCCCAGCTGGCGTTCTCACTTTTGGGGTCCTGCTCTCATACCGACCATACTAAAATGTACCCACATTCTTCTTTAAATATAGTAATTATTGCTAACTGACATAGTATGGCATTTGGAAGCTATGTAATAGAGCATTTATTAATTTCCAGCATTTATATTTTAGAGGCAACGATTAATTCTTAGGTTTCAGATGTCTTTGTGGGCACTGCGCCTGCAGGACAGGCTGGGAGCCCTAGCTTCACCTGGCTGGTTCAGGGTGGGTTATGGGCTTCAGCAAGCAGGACGCTCTCTCACCCTCACTGACTGTCTCCCTAAGACACTGCCAAGCTGCAGCAGCAGGTGTTGGAGACGGGGCCTTCCCAGACTCTAGGTACATGGGGATGGCCTGAATCCACTGAGGCCCCAGGATCAGACTCCCTGGAGGCCATAGATGCTCAGTGGCTCAGTGTCCAGAGATGTGGTCATTGCCTCTGTGTGGTTTGGGGGAGGGTGACCTGTATGACTCTTTCTGCACATGTGAGAACCATTTAGTTCAGGCATGTACTGGCTCCACGCCCCACAGAGCAGTGCCCATGTGACCCCTGCAGGGTCATCTTTGATGTCTGGGTGGTATCTAGCGAGTTCCTGTGGCTGCCCAGAGGCCACAGGGCCTCTCTGTAGACGCCAGCCACTCACTCCCTTGGCTTCCAACCTCATTAGTGGTAAGTCTGCTTGCCTCTCTTACCCAAAATAGGACCCCAGCCCGGAGAGAGTTCTGGAATGGACTTGGTGTGCTCCCCCTCTTTGGTCAGCTCTCAAACTCTGGAATAGAGAATGAAGGACTCCAGGGGCTGGCTGTCCTTCCCGTGAAAGGGGATGTTGGGGTAGGAGGAGGCCAGCCAGGGCTCTGTGGACCAGAGTCGGTGTGGTTGGGAAGGAAGCCCACCTGGCTGGCGAGGTGTTTCTCTAGGAGGGTGACAGGGGCCAAGGATGCACTGAGTCTGCAACAGCTGGGTGGAAATGTGGGGCCCAACTGTGTGCCCGCCCTGCCTGCTCCCCTCCCGTGAGAAAGGCTGAAGTTGTGGGAACGTTTTTCTTCCCATTGGATGAAGCTCTGTGTGTGTATGTGTGTGTGTGTTTTCATCCACCCCATTAGCAGCCCCATAACTGCCAGCTTCCTGTCTGCCCCTAAAAAACGCCAGACCCATTCACTTTCTGTCCCAAATCTAGCCTGACTTCTCCTCCCCAAGTAGACCTACAAGGGGGCCCGGGGAAAATCAAATCAACACGTGTAATTGAGGCCACTCTGTGGATAACCAGGTCTAAAGTAAATTTCCTCAGACCTCTTCAGGTTGTTACGGCCAAAAGATCCAATTCTGGGTATCTGGGGACTCAAATCATACAGCGATCTGCCTCAAATCCTCTCAAAAGCTAGAAAAGCATCTAGAAGGGGCCCGCTTGCAGGAGAAGCATGAAAAGCCATTTGCCCTGTCCCTGCATTGGGGAGTGGGACAGAGAGTGGGGGGTCAGGGCTGTGTTCTCTGCAGCCAGAAAAGATCTGATCTCGAGACTCGAGGGGCTGGAGTTGTGCCGGGCTAGCGAGGCCGGAAGCGTGGGCTGTGGCTGACCCCCACCCTGCTCGGCCCTGTCCTCCCAGCACACACAGGCTGCCTCAGAGGCAGGAGAGAGGGGCCTGCAGGAGGTGGGCTCAGGACGGAGTGGGCTGGGACGTGGCTGGGAGCTCCCACCGTGAAGACATGAGTGCACGGCCATGTGGCTGGCCTGGACTGAGACGTGCTGGAACAGTAGACACGTACCACATGCCAAAGACTTGTACGAAAAGGAAAATCTCTCATTAAAAATTTTGCAGGGCCGGCCCGGTGGCGCACTGGAGAGTGCGCCACTTGGGAGCGCGGCGGCACTCCCGCCAAGGGTTCGGATCCCATGTGGAGAACGGTTCCCGCTCACTGGCTGAGCGCGGTGCGGGCGCAACACCGAGGGTTGCGATCCCCTTACTGGTCAGTAAAAAAGACAAAAAAAAAAAAAGGAAAAAAAAATTTTTTTTGCATATCCATTGCATATTGAAATGATAATATTTTGGGTACATTGGGTTAAATAGAATATATTATTAAAATTAGTTTTAAACTTTTTTAATGTGGCTACTAGAAAATTTTAAGTTACATATGTGGCCTGCATTGTATTTCTGTTGGCCACCCTGAGTTAAAGATTTGGTACGTGAGAGGGGTGACAGGGTAAAGGCTGAAGAGTCTGGAGAATGTGGGAGCCCCCCCAGCACCGCCTCCAGACCCCTCTGGGCAGGGCTCTCCAACGGGGGTCTCAGGTTTTAATCTTGGGGATTTGGGAGTTGGGAATTTTTTAATATTCTGTTTTCAATGCAATGATCTTTTTTTAAAAAAACCTTCTTACATAAAAAAATCTTTCGTAGGTAATTTTGAGGTAATATTTTTATGAGGAGGCATTTTCCTAGTGAAAGATTTTTAAAGTCAGTGTTTCTCAAATCAGAATCCTCGGACATACCCCGGGAAAGAGCTTTTCCCCCCCTCCCTGTAACAGGCCCATACGCTGCTCAAGTCTGAGACAGAGTGTCCCCGGGCTTGCTCCGTGGATGGGCTGTGGTCATCTGCGAGCCTGTGCCTCGGTCCCTTCACACCCCCTCCTGTCCCTCTCCCTCTCCCGGCGGCAGGCCAGTCCTTTCCCCTTCCCCTGCCCAGCGACAGGACAGTCCCTGGGAGAGCCCTGAGAGCTGGGCGGGGACTGGAATGGGTGTCTTTCCCCACCTGACAGCTCAGAACGCCTCCCCGACGTGCCCCAGGAGACCGAGGGGTCCTCTGGCCTTCCCTGACCTGTAATGCCAGCTCCGGGGTGCACGGAGGGAGTGAACTGGGGGTGGGTGAGGCGGGCTTTGATTTAAAAGTCGGGTCGTTCACAACATTAAGAGCCTCGGATCCCCACCGAGTAAAGTGTAAAGTGAAATAAAATTGTCTTAATCCACAGAATGAGAATGAAGTTCACACAAGCTCTAATTTTTAACACAATGACTCCTGTGATGTACTTTTTGGAATATCTGGGTTGTGTGTGTGTGTGTGTGTGTGTGCGTCCGCGTGTGCGTGTGCGTGCGTGCGCGTGTGCGTGTGTGAGAGCGCATGTGTGTGTGCGTATGTGTGTGTGCGCGCGCGTGTGCGTCTGCGTGTGTGTGCATGTGTGTGTGCGCGTGTGTGTGTGCGTGCGTGTGCATTTGTGTATATGTGCGTGTGCGTGTGTGCGTGCGTGCGTGTGTGCGCGTGTGCGTGCGTGTGTGTGCCTGTGCGTGTGTGTGTGTGCGTGCGTGTGTATATGTGTGTGTGTGCGTGCGTCTGTGCCTGTGTGTGCGTGTGTGTGCGTGCGTGCG